ACCTAAGACCCTTCTTCAAAATAAAACCAAACCAAAGTAAAACCAAACAAACACAAAAGCCAAACCAAAGTAAAAAACAGCCAGGTATGGTGGCACACACCTTTAACCCCAGCACTAGGGAGGCAGAGGCAGGTGAATCTCTGAGTTCAAGGTCAGCCTAGATTAACAGAAGATCAAGTTCCAGGACAGCCAAGGCTACACAGAGAAACTCTTTGTCTCAAAAAAAAAACAAAAAAAAAAACAAAAACAAAACAATCCCCCCCAAAAAAACAGAGAAAGATAAAAACAAACAAACAAAATCAACAATCCCACAAAACTATAAGTGAAAGTACAGGATCGAATTATTTGTCAATATAAAGTTATTTTATATTAAGAGATAAAGGTAAATATCAGAAAACTGGAAAAATCTTTCAGCATTTTAAATGAAATATTTAATACCTTCTTAGAGCATTAAAATATCTGAGACCCACTGTAAAGATGAGCAAAGGACAAATTCACAAAAGGAACAGAGAAGAATTAAAGAATTAAAAGAGACTTTCCCAGCATTTAATTTTATCAGTCCCCCAAATCAAAGCGGAATAAAGCAACAATGAAATACCATTTTCTAGCTAAATGTCAAAAGTACTATTTACAGCAGCTTTTGACTTGGTATTTCACACGGGGCTGGCCTGGGCATGGTAGAAAGGAAAGGGTTACTACACCTTGGTCTATTGTGGAGGCTTTGAGGAAAGCCGGCATTTCCACACACTGTTGGTGGAGTAACAAAGTAAAACCATTCCTAGGGAACACAACTGGCAAACCCCACCAAAACTACAGACTCACGCAGTCTCTGGCTCCCCCACCCAACTTCTATCATCTATCTATCCTGTAAATGTATGGCTGTCCCTCTGTGGAATGGCAGGGACACGTGAATATTCACTGCAGTAGTATTGACTGTGAAGCGTGTCCAGTCAATGTACAACAGGACTATGGAAACTTGCTGTGCTATGTCCACAACACAGGCCTCTAATGGGATATGGGAGCTTTCTACACACCAACATGGAAGCTTTCTACACACCAACATGGGAGTTTTCTACACACCAACATGCAAGGATTCAAGATCATGAATACAAGCGAATCATGCTGACACTCTCTTTGGCATAAAAGACAAGAGACTAATGTATATATACCTCATTACAGTCTTCAAAGTTCTTATGATTGAGTTCATTTCATTGCACTATCTACAAAGATATCACTCTGCAGATGTGATTTATAACACTAAAAAATGCAAGATTCCTAAAGAAATAATAAAGCAAACTATGGTAATCACGCAATAAACTTATTACTTCTGCTGAAGCTCATTGATAGTGAGCTTAAGCAAAAATGGGACATTAAAAATGCCTATAATATGAATTAAACATGTAATATGGACACTAGAAAAGAAGAGCTAAGGTTGTCTCAGCAATGCTCAGTGCACAGCCCAACACCAGTGGCGTTCTAGGTGACAAGGTAGCATGTAGTTCAGTCAAACACCTATCAGCAGGCAAAGTGGTACCACCAGCAGGAGAGCCAGAAATGGATGCAGACAGACGTTTTGGGGAACCCAGAGGCACAGCTATGTTAAGACAGGAGATAATGTTTTACAGTCCATTTGAAGAAAACGAGAATCATAAAGATTCTGAGAAGAAATGGAAGAGAGGCTAAAGGGGGAAGAAACCAACAGAATATGCATCAAGTGCTCTGAAAGTCGTCCTCGTTTGCTCTGTCCTCAGTTCATGTGACTACCAGTTCTTCCTTCCTTCTTTATTAATGTATTTAATTTATTTATCTGCTGTTTGGTTTGAGTCAGGCTTTGCTGTATAGCCTAGGTTGGTTTTGAACCCATGATCCTCTCGTCCCAGCATCCAGAGAGCTGGGATTACATGCCTGAGCCACCACACCCAGCCGCCTTTCATATTTTATCAAATTTCCCGTTACCACCAATCCTAGCTGTATCTGGAGAAATGAAAGCATGGCATAGCCAAGGGTCTATTAACCATGACTCAAATGAGGCGGAGCCCAGGGCACCATGCCAGAAGTACCAGCTCAGTCCTGGCACCCTTTATGTCCTGAGGACTTATGCTTGAAAAAAATGATTTTTTTAAATTCAAAAGCTGTACAGATTATTATAAACTTACAACTGGTTCACAAGATAAGAATCCAATTCATAAGAAAATATGTAGTTTCTTAAGGTAGGATAAACAAGAAGAAGGAGGGGATATATTCCCTCATACATAAAGCAATATTAGGATTACATAACAGGTAGCATCGTGGAATACCAGAAATGTGTCAGAGATAACATGGTAAAACGGGAAAGTCTAACATTGCGTATGTGAAGAGAGAACTTCAATCCTGGTATCAAACTACCTCTAAGGAGGATGTTGCATAAACTGACTGATACACTGATCCATATGGTTATTATCTGACAGGCTGGCATCATGACTAAGATAGCAACATAAATGCTGGAGAAACACAATGGACAGGACAGCTGTGGAAGACAGGAACTATCACACAGTCCCAAGAGTGGGCCGTGAGGTCGATGAGAGCATCCTCGTCAGCTTTAACTGTCACTTGGAGTCATATGTGAAGGAACTCATTGAAAGATTTCCAAGATCAGCTTAAAACAAGCAAGTGGGCATGTCTCTGGGAGATTGTCTTGGTTGCTAATGGATACAGGAAGGTCTGGCCCACGATGGGCAGCACTATTCCCTGGTCAGACGGTCCTGGACTGTAGAAGAAAGGGAGCTAAGGACGAGGGCGTGAGCCTTGTAGATATTGAGAGAAGGCACATGTAGACAGATTGGAGAGACAGTACAGAGACCTCCTTAGAATCGTGCCCGGTAACAGCCAGGAGAGAGACACGGCAGGCGAAGGAGTGAGCAGTTTGGGATGAGGTGAGGGGCGTGAAGGGCTGGAAAAGGCAAACCCGAGGGGCATCGTAAGCCACTGCTAACTGCGTGGAGGGCTGGATGCCTACTTTCTCTATCCCTGGTATACAGAAGGACAAGATTAGAGAAAAGGGAAGAGAGGCCAGGTACACTAGGCCAGGCAGGGGAGCAAGAAAGGCAGTGTCCTCTTGAAGGAGGTGAGAGATTGGAAGAATGACCAGCCGTGGGAAAGAACACTTTAAAACATCAGGTATGTACATTTTACAAAGCGAACGGGTTGTGTGACGCCATCTTTATCCAAGTCTATTGTGTATTTGACCACATCCCCCATTTTCCTTTACTCTTTTCCCCCTTTCCCTTCCTCCTTCCAATTAGCACCCCTTTGACTTTTAGCTTTCATAAATAAGAGAATATATATATATATATATATATATTAGTGGTATATATATATTTTTTTCTAGGTCTAGCTTATTTTGTTTGAAATGATCATAACTGTATCCAGTTCCCTAAAAATGACAGACTTTTGTTCTTCATGGCAGCACTGAAGTCCACTGTACATATCTATATACCTATCATATATTTTTCTTCCACCCTCTTCCCCTCCCTCACCCTCCCTCTCTCTTTTTAGTCAAAGCTCATATAGCCCAGGCCAGTCTGGTCTCAGGCTCATGAGATGGGATTACAGATGTAAGTCAGGATACCTTGCATGGGACTGAGAACCGAGGCAGGGCTTTCTGCCATGCTCGGCTTGTACCTACCAGCTGAGCTACATTCCCAAGTGTACATTGTCTTTACCTATTCATTGATGTGCTTCTATCTCCCCAGTAAAACAGTACTAGTTGGGCCTGAGGAGATGGCTCAGCAGTTGGGAACACTAGCTGCTCTTCTAGAGGTCCAGGGTTCAATTCCCAGCACCCACATGGCAGCTCACAATTGTAACTCCAGTTCCAGCAGACCTGACTGCAGGAATGTGGTGCACAGACATACAGGCGGGCAAAACCACCCACAAGCATTAACAAAGAGAACAAAGGGTGCTAGCACCTGCTCAGAAGCGCTGATTACGTGCCTCTGCTAGTGACTTCTCATTCAGTAGCTTTACTTTGGTTCTTCAGACTGGCTATGGTTGAATGCTTACACCATGGAAAGTGGCAAATGGCACGAATTAGTGGTAAGCTGGTTTTGCTGCATGCAAATAAATGATGCCTCCTCAAAGAGAGGTAGCAGGGTAGGAGGTCTACCTTGACCCCAAGACATATCCTGGGAGAAATAAGGCTGAAGGCAGATACACATGAGTCTCTTTTTGCACGAATCAACGCGGAAGCTGTAACACTGAGAGGACAAAAAGGGCCTGGGTCTAAAATAAGTTCCGCAGGTGGGTTCTTGGGCTGGCTGTGCAGGAGAAAACGAGGCAATGCTATGCAAATGTGAAGTGAGCGGAGGTCAAACAGGGCAGGAGGACAATTCTACACGCTTCGGTTCCGCGCATTTGCTCGGCAGCCCGGGAAAACAGCCTCTCCACACAGAGGTTTTCTGAAGGCTTGTATTTGGCCCTTGATGAAAAGGTTCTAAGAAAAACAAGAGAAAGCCACCACGAGAGTCACACTTTGAACCCCGGAGAGAACACCACAGTGAGCCTACTGCAGAAGTAGACAAAGCACGCACTCCTGCTGAAGGGAAACAGTAAGTTCTGCTGGGACTGCCTGGAACTTAATCTTACATAATTTGGGTTTCAAAAGGATAACTTTCGGGGTTTAAATCATTTCAGTTACCTCTGTTAGACAAAGTAACTTTCTCAAGTGTTTCTGTAGCTTTCCCCAACAGCGCCCTTGGCCTCGAGGTGCGGCTCTCAGTGTCCCCCTCTTGGCTGAGCAGGAGCTGGCGAGCTACAGGCACTTTCTTCTTCCCCTCAGCTCAGTGGGACCCGACAATCCTGCAGTTCGGGAGCCAAACTGGAATTCCTTCCATCTGTATCCAGACATTTAAGAATTTGGCTGGACTCCACAGGAAGGCTTTACAGAGTACTTAATCAAGTGCTCCAGAGGTTAAATTTCAGGAAAGCCCTCTTGGATCCGAGATAAAGGCGGGGTGTAAAAAGGGAAAACAAGAGTCCTGTGAGTCAGAGGTCCTTCGCTCTCCTCCTCACTCAAGACTGCAGAATCCCAGCTCAAACAGGTTGGTTCCTTCTTTCTTTTTCTCCTTTTGACCTAAATATGCATTTAAAAAAATTTTTAAGCCCAAAGATTTTGCATTTTTATTTTAGTGAGGGATGGGGGCTTGGTGCATGAGAGTTTAAACATTTACATGGGCCAAAAAAAGCTATTTAAGAACATCTCTACACTTTAACCTTGAAGTGAAAATATGAATATATCAAGAAAAATAAATTATTTTCAATACCATTGCTGGTTTGTCAGGGAGCTAATAGAGTTTACCAGATCATTTCTTCCTTCTAATTATAATAAATATTTTTTTTGTTTTGAAAATAATTTAAAAAACAGTTGAAAGTCTTCCTATATATCTGCAGAAGGGTAATTTTTGCAAATAATCTCTATTCCTATTCTGATTTTCTTATACTGCTGGAAAAGTCATACTTTCAAATATTCACCCTATATTTTATTTGGTTCTGTTGTTCTTTGTCATCAAGTTTTAGATTTCTGTGATAACAGAGAGGAAAGAACCAAGTCATATTGTGTTAATAATTAATGCAGAAACTGTGGAGGCTATAGGAGGCTGCCACTGCAGCTTCTGCACCGCCTTTACAACAAAGTAGCCACTGCAGACTGTTGCTGCTTGCTTTCTGCATGATAAAGAAAACCCCTCAGCAGCACCTGCCTCAGGGAGCACCTTCCCTAAGGGGTACCTTTACATTATTCATCCAAAGAAGAGTTAGCAAGTTAAAGACCTCTTTAGAAACTTCACGTTCTTTCCTGTACTGCTTTGAAAATGCTGTTTTCACGAGTGATTCTGTAAGACCTGGGATTTTTTGAAGGACAAAAATGGCCAATCAAGATAGAGAAGCTAAGAAAGAAAAGGCAATAAAAACAATGAAAGTCATTGTAATGTTCATAGTAATATTTGTAAATTCAGTGCAAGCTTTTCTTGATACCCTGCAGTGCTATTGGCCAGCGCGTGATTCCTGAGTTTGAGACAGGAGACCCCTTACACATCCGACATCCATTCCGTATGTTTTGTTGTGTTGTGTCAGGACCTGACAGCTATTTAGTGAGCAGCTAGCATGTGCCTGGTATGTAATAAATGCTTCAGTCACAACCAGAAATCAAACTGCTCAGACTGCAGAGAACTTAGAGCTGGGAAATACATTTTCTCCACAGGATGGAGTCACATCCTTGATCGAGGGTGAATCTTCTGGGGAGGAAAACCCAAGCTAACTTACTCTTAAAGGGAAGGCAGAAAATAGTGCTGGGTAAAGGGCAGGCGGGAACGATGGGGATGCGCATCAGAGCAGCCTGTGTCTGCCAAGAGCTGGCAACGGAGCACACTCCTGTCTACTGTGTGGGGACAGGGAGGGGAGAGAAGGCAGGAGGGAGCCTTGAAGTCCACTCTGTGGATCCTGTGTTGTCTCTTTCTCAGGAAGGGAGGTGCTTCCAGGTGCAGAGCTAGATGAGGGGGCATTGACTGGCAAGTCAGAGGTACAATACCGACAGGCAGTAAGAACGGTTTTCACAGGAAGGTTGGTGAGAAAGATGAAGAACAGTCAGATTCCAGCTAAGAAGACAGTGCAGTGTGTGTGTGTGTGTGTGTGCGTGTGCGTGCGTGCACGTACACAATCAGAAGGGCCCAGTGGGCAGATGGCACAAGTCTAAAGACCGCAAGGGCAGGAAGATCTGAGACCCATTTGCAAGGTAAAATCTGAACATGCAAACTAGGTGTGGTGGCTCACACCTATAATCCCAGTACTGGGGAGGTTGAGGCAGGAGGATTGCTAACTTGGGCTACAGAGTGAGATTCTGTCTCAGGGGAAAGAATCAAAATAAAGCAAGCAAAAACAAGAATGAACAAGCTTATAGACTAACTGGAAACAAGGGGATCTAGGTAAGCAACAAGTCCAGGACAGTGCCAATTTTCAGCTTCAAAGGACCGGGGACACAAGAGGAACCAGGGGACACGAGAGGGACCAGGGGACACGAGAGGGACCAGGGGACACGAGAGGGACCAGGGGACACGAGAGGGACCAGGGGACACGAGAGGGACCAGGGGACATGAGTAGTTACAGGCGTAGGAGGCAAGCTGACTAAATGAGGTTTTCCTGTAGAAAAGTCAACATTAATGCTCTACAAATGCCAAGTTAATTTATTTAAATTTATAGTCACAGTAGAATAAAAATTAAAACATTCCTTTTTTCAAGCAAGACAACTTAACTTATTTTAATTTATTATAGCTAACTCCACAAGACAAGTTATTTGTAAAAATTACAACATTTCTTCTGTTCTTTGATGAAATTTTCTATTATAAAAACCAGACTGAGTCTGGTGTATAAGAACTAGTTCCAGGACAGCTAGGACTTTAAAGCAGAGAAACCCTAACTCGAAAAACCAGACTGGGTAGATGGCCCTGAGGTTAAAATGCTTGCTGTCCAAGCATGCAGACTCGAGTCTGGGTCCCTAGCACATATGAAAATGAGGCGTGGGCTTGCGGCCCGCCTACAGTTCCAGCACTCAGAAGATAGAGGAAGGATGTGTGGACCAAGCTGGCTATCAGAACAGCTCTGCTGGTCAGCTCTGGGTCTAACCTCTGCCTCAAGAAGTAGGTAGAGAGTAATCTAATGACTCCTAATGCCAACTCCAACCTGTAGATACATGCACATACATGTGCCCTCACATCCACCCACATGCACGCAGACCACACATACAAACACATACAAAAAAATCCCAAAAACTAAACAACTTATATTTACTTAAAAGTCTTCAACTTTATCTAGGATTTAGTAATAACTAAGGGAATCCCTTAGGATATTGTCTGTTGGCCATGGACAAATGCCAGTTCCTGCACACAGACGTGTAAGAACAAAGGATGGGGGAACTGGCTCAATGTGGCCCCCATTAAAGTTTTCAGAGTGAGATCCAGGCTCACACATGTGATAGCCACAAGCTATTCTCTAGAGAAAACACAAACCATATGCTGGGTAAACTGCTTCCTTTTAAGCAATGCTCAAGTGAGTGTCTTGTGTTCTTCCTGCCATCCAGCTCAGTGCCATGGCTCTAGAGCAGGGCCAGCCAACAGAATACTACTACGAGGGAAACGAAATGAATGACACTTACGACTACAGCCAGTATGAAACGATCTGCATAAAAGAAGAGGTCAGGCAGTTTGCAAAAGTCTTCCTCCCTGCCTTCTTTGCAATAGCCTTTGTCATCGGACTGGCAGGGAATTCCACAGTTGTGGCAATTTACGCCTATTACAAGAAACAGAGGACCAAGACAGATGTGTACATCCTGAATCTGGCTGTGGCAGACTTGTTGCTTCTGGTGACACTGCCCTTCTGGGCAGTTAACGCAGTCCATGGGTGGATTCTAGGGAAAATGATGTGCAAAGTAACTTCGGCCCTGTACACGGTAAACTTCGTCTCTGGGATGCAGTTCCTGGCTTGTATCAGCATTGACAGATACTGGGCAATCACTAAGGCTCCCAGCCAATCAGGAGCGGGGAGACCCTGCTGGATCATATGTGGCTGTGTGTGGGTGGCTGCTACCTTGCTGAGTATACCCCAGCTGGTTTTTTATACCGTGAATCACAATGCCAGGTGCACTCCCATCTTCCCCCACCACCTGGGAACATCCCTGAAGGCATCCATTCAGATGCTGGAAATCTGCATCGGCTTTGTGGTTCCCTTTCTTATCATGGGGGTGTGCTATGCCATCACTGCAAGGACGCTCGTCAAGATGCCCAATATTAAAAAGTCTCGCCCCCTCAAGGTTCTGCTCACGGTGGTTGTAGTTTTCATTGTCACCCAGCTGCCTTACAACATTGTCAAGTTCTGCCAAGCCATAGATGCCATCTACTTGCTGATCACCAACTGTGACATGAGCAAGCGCATGGATGTCGCCATCCAGGTCACAGAGAGCATAGCACTCTTCCACAGCTGCCTCAACCCTGTCCTGTATGTCTTCATGGGGGCCTCCTTCAAAAACTATATCATGAAAGTGGCCAAGAAATATGGAACCTGGAGAAGACAGAGACAGAACGCAGAGGAAATTCCTTTTGATTCCGAGGCTCCTACAGATCCAACCAGTTCTTTTACCATTTAAATATACAATGCTCTCTGCTTTTTGCTTGGACACACACACACACGTGAGCTTTCTTACTCAAATAAAATATTTGTGTTACACTGAGACTCAAATGTCCAACACTAGACTGTTGTTGCAATGTATAACAAAGGGTGAGGGTGTGGCGAAGACAGACACCAGAAAGTAAACAACAAATGGTCAGAACCTGGAAATTAAAGTTACTACAGGAAAACAGCATGGCGGGAAGGAGAAAAACGCTGTACTCTAAAGAGGAAGCCTTTATGGCAGTGGGGTGTTTTCATCTTGACTATAGTGGTGGCTACTCAAATCTAGGTGTGCCACATAGGAATTTCAACTGCCGACTTTTGATAGCAACTGTAATTATGAAATATAAAACATTGGCTAATGAGCATCCAAGACCATCCTGTGTGATAAGTCACTGTGTAAGGGTTATCCGGGACCGTCCTGTGTGATAAGTCACTGTGTAAGGGTTATCTGGGACCATCCTGTGTGATAAGTCATGGGTAAGGGTTATCCGGGACCATCCCGTGTGATAAGTCACTAGGTAAAGAGCCCCCAAGACCATCCTGTACTATTTTGTAACTTCCTTTGAGTAGACAGCAACTTTATTTTTTATTTATTTATTTATTTTTTGGTTTTTTGAGATGGGGTTTCTCTGTGGCTTTGGAACCTGTCCTGGAACTAGCTCTGTAGACCAGGCTGGTCTCGAAATCACAGAGATCCGCCTGTCTCTGCCTCCCGAGTGCTGGGATTAAAGGCATGCGCCACCATCGCCTGGCTAGATAGCAACTTTAAATCAAAAGTTAAAAAATCCCATCATGCTCTGAGTCAGGTGATCTAAAACCAATTAATAAAAAAACATATGTTGAGGAAATTATAAGTATTTGTAATTATTTAAATTTTAATAAGAATATTTTTCTGCAAAATTCCAATATTTAAATAATTGCAACAAACTTACTCTAATTTTTTGGTTTCATAATTCATAAGCGATTTTATAAAATATAAAATGGCAATTATCCCAACCTTTAAAAGAAGGCCAAACCCATAAACTTTCCTGAGATGTTCACACATTCTGGAAAGTGCCTATAAATGCAATTTGGTTTGATGATGTCACCAAAGAAAATTATCCAAATACATTCTGGGTTCATTATGCACATTCTAGAAGCAAGCCTTAAAAATCATAGTTATCTAGAGTCTAATTTTATAAGTTCCTAAAGAATTTCTCCATGTATGTTGGCCTATTACTAAGAACTGATGAGCAAATATACTATCCTATATATAAAGCTTAATTTTCATTTAACCATGCATATTTTAGGCAATAAAATCAATACATTTACTATATTGATTTTACATGTTACTGACACTTATGAATGAACCCCAAACACATGCTCAGCCTGTGTTCTAGCGACACTGAACTATACCCCAGACTCCACAACTTATCAAATTACCTTTTCTCTTGGTACTGTTTCTAACTCTGATAGCGTTTCAGAGGCTGATTTAAAGCTGTGATCGCAAAGCAGTGACCGGGAATCGTGGCATTGCTCTGGCAAAGGGGTAGCAGAACCACGGAGAACACTCACCGCTGCTCCACCACTTCTTGCCGTTCACTATATAGCCATCTCCATCTCGCTGGATGCTACACTCAATGTTCGTGGCATCACTTGATGAGACATTGGGCTCTAGAAAGGAAGAACAGCTTGATCATCAGGCAGGCAGAAATCAGTCTTTAGCCAGAGAGGCTTGGGCGAGAGAAGGCAAGCTCGTCAAGGACAGAGGCACCTTGGGTTTTTATCCACTCTACCCCTTTCTACTCGGTCCTTTCTTAATGACACACTGTAAGCATTCGATAAATATGACTTGGAAGACAGAGGGATGAAGAGTAGGATTAGTACTGACAACTGTGTCCTTGGAGGCTTTGCTGATGTCTGAGTCCATATACAATTCAACTCAGTATTTTCCCAGTCACCCAAACCAGATAATACTGCCTTTGACTTTCCCCAGTGGGAATCTGCTTTAACTGAGGGCAGGCTGGGTTTCTCTACTCCCACCAACAACTTCCACCTGTGCCTTGAAGGTGCTACTGGGAATGTATCTGCCAGCGACATCCAGATCTTCTCCACACTCAGGTCTCCAGAACGCTCTCTGTGCAACACCTGTAAATATCCTTAGATTCTCTTTACTGCATGGCATATAGGGACCAATCAGCTTTGACCTTGCTCCTGTATTGTCCTTGTTTTTATTTTGTATGTTTATACGTGTATGTGTGCTCACACGCTGGAATGTGTCTATATGGAGACCAGACAACTTCGGTTGTCATTCCTCCTCTGCTCTCTCATTGGCTTGGCCTGGTATGATCCTGATACTCGGTGGTGACTGGTTAGCCTGGCTGGCCAGGGGGCCGCAGGGATCTTCCTGTAACCAACCCCAGTGCTGTGCTTGCACTTGTAAGATTAGATGTGACATCTGTGAAGATGCTGGGAATGGAACTCGGGTCCACGTGCTTGTGTGGCAAAGACTTTACAGACTGAGCCGTGTCCCCGCCCCTTTTCTGCTCTCTTCACTGGGTCCTTGGGATGCTTCACAGATTCTTTTTCAAGCTCCAGAAGCTGGTTTCAGAGAAGGGATGGCGAACTTATTTTGTGGCCTGAGGCTGGTGCTGTGGGAACTCTGTGTCATCACACCGTTCTGCCGGCGTTCAATAAACACCTCTTGATGAATCGAGTAGAAAGAACTTTTGTCATTATATAAACAGTTATATATGTGTGTATAATATTTGTATATTATATAAAAAAACAATCAAATCTAGTGAGTGGTGGAGGTGCATGTTTTTAACCCCAGGGCTCAAGAGGAAGAGGCAGGTGGATCTCGGAGTTTGAACCAACCTAGTCTACAAAGTGAGTTCCAGACAGCCAGGGCTATACCGAGAAAGCCTGTCTTGAAAAATCAAAATTAAAATAAATAAAAATAAATAATCTGGTCATGAGAGAAAGGTCAATATGAACTTCACATTATGACCAAATCAAATTGAACTTAATTCTAAACTCAGGTTGAGATGTGATTTTTGTCTTTAAAGGAGGTTAAATCCCTGTTTCCAATATACAAACGCACCAACACCATTGCCGTCATCGTGCCCCTACTCCGTGCTTCCGGCGATAGTCCCATCGGTTTACGTTCTGGCTTTCTAGGATTATGGACTAGCTGAGTAGCTTATAGTCATATAAATATCTCAAGGATGAATATTCTCGGGCAGCAGTTGTAGAAACAGCACAATTTAGAAGCCATCACCCCGCTGCTGATGCTGAAGAAGACTACCAGAATGCATCTGGAGCCACCCCACAGGACAGGGGTGTCTCTACTGAGCATTCAAGGATGCCAGCATTTCAAACCAGGCTCCAAACAAACACATTCAGGCCGTGGGCACAGTTGGCTACACCCCACACTGTTCAGGTGATCCACCCGCGATAACCCCAGGATGACGATGCCAGGAGACAGGGCTGGGGCTTGCTCTTACCTGTCATACAGAACGCAGAGGTGATATCTCCACGAAGAAGGGGCTCCAGCCACTGCTGCTTCTGTTGCTCACTGCCGTACAGGTGCAATACCTCCATGTTGCCTGTGTCTACATGTGAAGAAAGTGTTACTTGACATTTGAAACTACCAGTATTAAATCCACATGTATGAAGATAATACAAATGATGCTTTTTTCCTTCTTTTTTTTTTTTTCAAGACAGGGTTTTGCTGTGTAACCCTGGCTATCTAGAACTTGCTCTACAGACCAGGCTGGACTCAAATTTATACAGATCCTCCTGCCTCTGCCTCCCAAGTGCTGGGATTAAAAGCGTGCGCTACCACCCAGCTCAGACTATATCTTTTGAAGTAAAATTTTGGTTGATGAAAATATTAGGAAACGTACATTAAACTGAACATGCAATGAGGGCATGCTGTACAGGTCTATGGCACTCAGCTCTTCAGTTCTTTAACTTTTTTTGACTCTTGGGTGCTCGCCCAGTTCCCTCCACAGTTTTAAGGAGGTCTGACTCAGTTAGGACTGAAGTGGCTGTTCCTGGTTTAAACTCTGCCTGCTGTGCTTGTATGCTATGTCAGGAGTGACTTCCACGGTCCTGGAGAGGAGCCTCCAGCTCCCATGCTGCTCCCCAGGCACACAAGCTGGCTTGGGCCAGGCCTTGTGAAAGTCCGCTGGTGTGGGTAAGGAAACTGCTCACGAGCTACGTTCTCCATAAGAACCTCCACTTACCCACTCTGAAAGACCTCCTTGCTCTTAGCTACAGCAATTTTCGTTCACCTTTCATAGCTTGTTTCTGTTGTTGATTCAGTTTGTTCCTGAGATGGGTTTTTTTTCTGGGTAGTCCTGGCTGTCATCAAACCCCTGCTTCTGTCTTGTGAATGCTGGGATTACAGGTGTGCCCTAAGACAGATCTTAATTTGTGCACCCCATTCCTTTGTGAATGACAGAAGCCCTGCCTTGTAAAGAAGCAGAAACCCTCACGGATCCACTCCAGTCCTGAGGGGTGCTGTCTAGCCCACCCCACACCCCAGCTTCTGCAGCTGGAAAAGCACACTGTTTATTGTGAGCGAAAGTTCGAGATGCTTTTCTCTGATTTCCATGCCTGTAATATCTCCTGAATTCTGCTTGAATCCTTTAGAGATTTTAAGGAAGATTTGCAGTGTCAACCTCCTGTGACTTGGAGGACGGCTGCTCAAACGCTGATGAAAACTGACAGTTTGGAATCAAGTCAGGCTAGATTTGTAAGTGCCGGAGAGATGGCTCGGGGGTAAGGGCAGAGGACCTGGTTCAGTGCCCACCACTCACTTCAGGCAGCCCACAACAGCTGGTAACTCCAGCTCCATGGGATCCTACATCCTCTTCAGGAGACTCGCACACATATATGTTTTTACATCTTAAAACCATGCTTTAAAATAGACCTTTGCACTCTGTTCAGATACTAATACTGAACTGAGAGGCACAAAATTCCTAGTAGATCAATACAAACCCAACAAGTGAGGGAGAAAAGAAGTCCTCGGTTATAGTTAACAAAATGAATTATTTGCTTTGTTTGCTCTTTTGAAATTTGGAGTTGCTTGTTATAGTTCAAACAAAATGAAGAATTAAAACTTTTCAAAATTAAGCTGGGAGTAATGGCATACATCTATAATCCTTGCACTTGTTTGTGGGGGTAGGACAGAGGCAGGAGGATCAAGAGTTCAAGGTCATCCTTGACTACATGAGGACGGTATGGGCTATGTGAGACCTTACTTAAAAGAGAAAGAAAGAATCTAAAATTATCATCTTTACTCTGAGAAACTGGCCAATTTTTTATTTATGGTTTAGGGAAAGGCCTAAATAATTTCATCCCAGAGGCTCTAAATTATTTTAGTGACAGGCTTAGAAATTAAAAATAGCTATTTTCAGTATTCTAATATCCAACATTGTCTGACATTTTGAAGGGAGACAGCAGAAAGACACACCAGAAGGCTACATATGTTTATTAAGCTTTGATAACTGCAGTGTTTTGGAGAGCCTAGGTAGAAATGAATCACTCAGACTGAAGAATACTCCCGAAGAATGTCATT